TACTTTTTCACACCCAACCCAGTTCTGCGGAATCAGAATCAACGTTGAGTTTAAGCAAGCGAATGAGCCAATTGGAGTAAAGTGCCATAAATTTTTCCCACTTGTGACGAATGCAGCTATCGATTGTTTTTGCATGCTAGCATGCTAGTTAACATTCGTGTCAGTCAGCTCTTTGCTCTCACGCTGGCCAATAGAATCTTCCTGCCTATTCGTGGCAGCCAGCTATTGGCTCTCACTCTGGCCAGTAGAAAATGGCTGTAAACTACATGAAAACTGCCGTAGAAGCATGAAAAATTAGATTATTTCCACTATCGATGGGAGTTGGGAAATGCAAAGTCGGTCTTGGCCTTCCCGCTAACTTGGAGTATGTGCATGTAAATTTTGGTGCAAATCCGTCGAAAATCGCGGCCGTGCATTCGTTACACACACACACACACACACACACACACACACACATCCTGCCTTTTATAGATAGAGGTAGACGTTTTGAACAATAAAAAATATTGAAAGATTAAAATCTTCCGACAAACTGGATTGTATATGAATATTCTTTTGTTTTTATCACTCATGTGTATAAATGAAAACATATGTTAATACGATCGTAAACCTTTTTGGATCTTCTGCATAAACGTACGACCTATATTTGACCGATATTTCATGGCACTATGACCTTTTGTTCCGTAGTTATTACAGTATTATTGATTTGCATATAATGTTGGAACACAGGACATAAGGACAACCGTAGATTTGATCAGTTTAATTCTTTGCTGAAATTTTCGACAGTTTGAAATTGACTGAACCACTGACTGGAAAGGCAATATTATACAGCGAGTAACATGTGATAACCTGAAGAGGGGGAAGTCTAAAGAATGTATCTCATGTGAAAGAACCACTTCTCTTTGCCAGTTCATATGGCGCATTTACAACGCTTGGGAGGGGATTGTCCCGTGGGAAAGTTCTTTTTCTTTTTTATGTGCCATGTCCTTTCAGGACGTAGACGATCATGGCTCTCCACCTCCCCCTATCCCTTGCAGCTCTCAACAAGTACCTTCCCTCTGCTTCCTCCCCCTGACTACGTTCTGTCATCCACTTGTTTAAGTCCGTCAGGTATGTCACGTGTTGTTTTCCCTTGTCTCTCTTTCCCTCTATTTGACCCGTGAGTATCAGATTCTCCAGGCCCTCCTTCCTCATCATGTGTCTCAGAAACTTCAGCTGCCTCTTCCTGATGTTAAGTATAAGTCTCGTCCTTGTTTGCAATCTCTCTAAGACCTCATCGTTGCTCACACGCTCGGTCCATGATATCCCTAGCATGCTGGTCAACATTCTTATTTAATCTTTATCCACTTCACGTTTTCTTTTTAGCAGACTCAGAAGGCTGGGTTATTCCAGTCATCAAAATAGAGAAGGACCTTCCAACGTGAACGAATCAGAAACAGAGACACTTAACCAGCGGTATCCATCCCTTTTTTCGACACGGACCGGTGTCATGCAAGAGAAGACAATTTTTCCACAGACCGGATCCGGTGGAAGGAATCGGTATCGGTGTGGGTTACGCGCTTAACTAAACACAATAAAAAAAACTTGACTTTAGCAGATTGTGACCGAATGTTCCGCCGCCCGGTAACAAATGTTCCGCGGCTCGGTAACAGATGGTCCTCAACCTGGTACCAAATGGTCCGCGGCCCGGTACCAAATTGCCCCCCGGTCCGATACTAAATGGTCCGCGACCCGGTACCAAATGATCCCCACCCCGGTACCAAATGGTCCGCGGCCCGGTACCAAATTGCCTCCGCCCGGTACCAAATTGTCCACAGCCTGGTACGAAATGGTCCCCACCCCGGTACGTAATGGTCAGAGGCCCTGTACCAAATAGTCCGCAGCCCGGTACCAAATTGTCCACAGCCCGGTACGAAATGCTCCCCACCCCGGTACGAAATGATTCCCACCCCGGTAGCAAATGGTCCGCGGCCCGGTACCAAATTGCCCCCGGCCCGGTACCAAATTGTCCACAGCACGGCACGAAATGGTCCCCACCCCGGTACGAAATGGTCCCCACCCCGATACCAAATGGTCAGAGGCCCTGTACCAAATAGTCCGCAGCCCGGTACCAAATTGTCCGCGGCCCGTTACTAAATAGTCCCCGGCCTGGTACCAAATTGCCCCCGGCCCGGTACCAAATGGTCTGCGGCCCAGTACCAAATCGTCCGCGGCCCGGTACCAAATGGTTCCCACCCCGGTACCAAATTGTTCTCGGCCCGGTACGAAATGGTCCCCACCCCGGTACCAAATAGTCCGCGGCCCGGTAACAAATAATCCGCGGCCCGTTACTAAATAGTCCCCGACCCGGCACCAAACGAACCGCGGCCTGGTACCAAATGGTTCCCGGATCTGTTGTTGGGGACTGCTGCACTAGATCATACCAGAGTTCAACATCGACCTCTGGCACTGGTGATTAATACATAACTACCTCACCTTTAAACGAGCAATCTTAATCAATGCTTTTGGCCAAGTACCTTTGAATCTCAAAAAGAAATTCTTTTCTCTCATGATTTTCCGTGCATGTCATCTTATATATATATATATATATATATATATATATATATATATATATGTATATATATATATGTATATATATATATATTTGGTTGGATAGATGTGAGTTTGTGACCCTGGGTTTCACGCTTTTCCAACCAAATATGTTAGCTCTATCTCTGATATTGAGCGCTTTCTAATAAGTACCGCGCATATAATATATAAATAATTATACATATATATATTTATTTATATTTATATACACTTTTCACACACACACACACGCACACAGAAACACACACACACACACACACACACACATATATATATATATATATATATTAAGGAAATCTTTAATAAGATGCGTCAAAATGGAGTCAGATCTAATAGCAACATACCCTGTTTCGTCTCTTTAACATCAGGAATTCTGCTAATCAGTAAAAAGTCTTTGATCTTTGCTTAAACCACCCACTCTGCGATTAATCTTTGAAATCATTAACTCTTCCGAAGGGAAAAGCAATTTGAAGGTACGCTAAATAATCTAAATCGTATAGAAGCAAAGCTGCAAGATACATCGGTCGATTGCATTTGGGCCTATTAAGATGGGATTACCAAATATAAAGATATTTGTGTTTTCTGTTAGTAAAGCCTGTTTGCAAACAAAGCAGGAGACAAGTTTCAGTCATAAAAACCGAATATAGCAACGTCACAGACTAAAAAAGAAAAGAAAAAAAATCAATAAAGAAATTATCGAAGTAACATAACACGATATATTGCGTTTCTTTTTTAATTTTAGAAAGTTTTTGGCGAAGCCGGTCGAAAGTAGCGTCAAAATGAACTCTCCTGCCGAATTCTTGAAAATGACACTAGATATTTAAGGAGAAAGCGATATTAATACAAGCTGTTACTGATCTTCCAACCTTTGAATATTTAACTAAATTAGCATTAAAAAAAACAAAAACAAAATGGGCGATTTAATTAGTGACTAACATGTTTGTCGAAATCTTAAACCAACTGAAAATCTTTGCGCCATCGTCACTTTCTATCACCCATGGTGTTTCTTCTGAGTGATCACCGAAGTTAAGCAATGTCAAACTTGGTCAGTATATAGATGGGTGACCGCTGTTAGTTTGGATGTGCGGGTGGTGTAAATGGATAATTGTTCAGTATTGGAAATCGGCGATCCGGGTATCAATTTCAGTAGTGTTCGTTATGTTAACTCATGCGCAAATACCCTAATAAAAAGATACGAATCCTCCTGTTCTCGTCCCCAGCTATGGGTTAATTAGTAGGATCAGTAAAATCAGTATTAACTTTTAAAAAATTCTTACAATCTAAAAATATGTTTTTGGGTTTTAAATAACCAGCAAAAACGTTAGTAAGCTGTAAAAAAAACAAAACAAAAATCAATCACTCCATCAATGAATGTATCACGAATTCCGTATGGCTGTAAAACATGGCCATTGAGAAAAAAAAGAAATAAAAAAGATGGAACTCTGGTCAGTTTCTGGATTGATTTATTTGTTTAGGATTTAGCAACCCTTTTTTGGTACTTTCAAGCCAAAAACATATTTTAGATTGTAAGAATATATTTCTTTTTGCGTGTGAAGTTATGAATTCATTTCTTCTACCCCCGGCTATGGGTTAAATAGTAGGACTTTCATCAATAAACCATTATTGTCGCCGAAAACTTGTTACAATGTGAAATGTTTTTTGGCTTTAAATAAACTGCAAATCGGTCGATAATCCGTAAAAAAACAAATCAATCCATTAGTCAATCAATCTAGCACCAATACTGTATGACTGTAAAACATGGCCATTGACAAAAAATTAAAAAAAAAAAGAGAAAAGAAGAGAAAAAGTAGTAGTAATGTCGAGTTTAAGATTGAATTAATTTTTTACGGTTTATCAACCTGTTGTTAATTATTTCAGGCCTAAACATATTTTGGATTGTAAGAATAATTAGTTTTCTTTTTTGTGAGAGAAAGTATGAATCCACCTCTTCTCCCCCAGCTATGAGTTAAAGAGTAGAACTTGTATCAGTAAATCATTATTATTTCCTAAATATTTCTTAGAATCTAAAATTACTTTCTGACTTTAAACAACCGGCAAAGTGGTTGATAATCCATAAAAAACGAATAAATCTATCAGTCTGTCTTCTAACATGGCTTTAAAACATGGTCATTGCCAAAGAGAGAGAGAGAGAGAGAGAGAGAGTGAGAGAGTGAGAGAGAATAAAGAAGTGGTGAGCTAGAGATTGCTTGATGTTTTTTACGGTTTATCAACCCATTCAATTTCAAGCCATTGGATGATAAGATTAATTTATTTATTTATTTATTTATTTTTTGGCGAGTGAATATTGAATTAACAACATTTTGACGATAGCAAATGTTTATAAATAAATGATCGGTAGCCAAAACTTAGGGATCAATGAGATCCAAGATCAAGATGAAGGGCATTGGTCTTACCTTCTTCCTTTTCAGCCTCGAATCGACAGACAAATAACAATAGCAGTAGAAAGAGGCAGCAAAGAGGAGGCCCACTGAGCAAACCACCGCTGACGGTCCCAATACCCGGTATATCCTGCAATGGGAAAATATGGAACACGTCTTCAGAAGAAAAATAAAACAAACACAAGCGTAACACGCATGAAGAAAAAAAAAAGGCTTTAACAAGAATAGCAAGCAAGAGGCATGCATATAAATGAACAACGCACTCACTGTCTACCGTGAACATACAGACCTACATCCGCGGGAGGGTGCCTACTGTGGTCTTCCCTGTGGAATATTTAAAGACGGCAACAACAAGTAAATATCCACCTGTCAAACTGGAGGAAAAAGAAATGATTAAACCAAGAAACAAAACAAAACAATGCAAAAGTCTTATAACTTAACCATGGATTGCTTCAGCAATTAGTTGGAGATTAGTCTCCAGCTATGTCGAACTCTCTGCCTTCGGGCAGAGAGGAACCAAGACGAGGCTATGCCGAAGCGCAGAGTCTCGTCTCGGGTGGTAGACAGCTAATCGACCACGATTTTGAGCCCGCATTAAAAAAAGGTCTTGTACCACATCCTGCCTCGCGAGGTGGTGAGGTAAATAACCTTATAACTTAACCAATTCAGTCTACATCCGCAGAGTTGAATTACTTTCCCATTCTCTATGTATCCCTTTAATAAGAAAGGTGTTTCGATCCGAAAGCTTCCCACAAACTGCTACTTTATATAAAAAAAAAAGAAAAAAGAAAAAAACTCCTGTGTGGATGCTTTTCAGAACAGTACAATATAAACCTCTTCAAGTATAGGATTAGCACTTATCTATTCGCCATATCGTCATAATCTTAATTTCCTAATTTATTTAATTTAATTCTTTAATTTCTTCCTCTTAGGTTAATATCACGCGGCTTATTCTGTAACCCTCTGCCTTGAGTGGCTCTTCGGCCTTGTATTGGGTGAATCGTTTTCATTTCAATATCCATGCAGGAGATACTCTCACATATTCCCATAGTTAATTTGTCATTGTCATGCCGGCGCTTCACGTTCACGTGACTCGCCTGGTCTTTAAAAGCGCTGATTAAATGCACTGAGTTATCTGGTAATCGCCATTCCTTGAATCAGAATAGTTACATTTACATGACCGAGTTCATTGGAGAAATAAGAGACTGCAAGACAAGGATAAATTAACAGATACGAGTTATCTCCCCTAGCATCAATAGCCGATTAAACGTAATCTCTTCTCTTAGATTCTATAAAAGCATTTGATTTGAAGAAAGCCTAACGTTTGAAGAATTGTGGCTACAACAAGCAAGATCAAAACGTTAGTCCAGAGAGATTAATTTATAAAAGGGATAGCTCTTTGTCTTAAAAATTTAAAAGAAAAAAAAAAATTATTCAAAAGCGGTAAATCGATTTGAAAAAGCAGACGATAAATTTTTATTGGATTGATCTTGCTTATCGTAATTAGAAGCTTTACTTTTAACATACAGAGATCATTGGCGCGCTGTGTAGAATACTTGATTCCTCCTTGGGGAATGTTGTTGGAGAAAATAAGGAAGACAAACAAAATAATACAAAGAAAATTAACCACAGAAAAGGTTTCAAAATTTTCGTGAATAAAATGAAATAAAATAACGTAAGCCAAGTTCATACCACAACTGAAATTCTTTTGCATGGATTTTAACCCTTCCAGAAAAGGAATTACCTGTGCATAGTGATGCCGAAAATGCATCATTTTTAAATTCTTCAAAAAAAATTATCAGTGTATAGTACGAGCCCCCTATTATGTAAAAAACTGTTAATAAAAACTCATACTATACGCTAAATTGCTTCTAAAATCATCCGTTTAGATGGTAATAACTGATATCTATAATAGATTAGAGGTGATGGGAATAAAAGCGATCATACTATACACCCCCTAAAATTTTCAAAGATGTATCTGCCGATTCCGAGTTTCGAAGAAATTACTCCGCACTTTTCAAAATAATTGACTTTATTAACAGATATATGATATACAGTGGAGTCTCGGTTTACTAATTTAATTCGTTCTTGATGCCTGTTCGTAACCCGAAATGTCCGTAAACCGAAACTATTTTCCCAATAGGAATCAATGTGAAATGGATTGATCCGTTCCTGGTCCCAAGATGATTGCTTATTTAAACTTTAACAGTACTTTATGCACGAGTTTATACACAAAACTAATGAAAATCATTAAATCTAAGAAAAATAAATAAACCCAATATTAAGTAGATAAAATATCGACAAACATTTTAATTTTAACGTACCTTTGTGTAGGAGAGTTGATGGTGTAAGTGGGAGGGGAAGGAAAGAGATATTATTGTTTGGGAAAGAGAAGGAAAGGCATCGTCTCTTTATGTATAAGAATAGTATAGATCGTTGATTTTGCCATATGAAACTAAGAAGAGACAATATCATTAATAATTGCTTTTCTCTTAACTTTTCTTTTTTCTTTACC